TCAAAGAGGGCCAGATTTGATGAAGTGAACATGCGTCACGGCCGACCATTTTGCCTGACATTCTTTGAACCATTAAAATTAAATGCAAATTAACTATTTTATGCAAAGTTTATTGCAAACGGCATACTTTTCATTTCGTCACATGGATGACAAATCTAAACAGGTGTTAAATCACTCTGCCTTTCATATCTGAAGGCCAGATGAAAAAAAAAATCCAGGAAGCTGAAATATATGTCAGGAACATTGTAAAGTACATTACATATTATTGGTAATAAAGGTTGTCTGTCAACTTTTAAGTTCAAAAAATATGAACAGGAACATAACACCAAGTATACATGTTGTGTCCAAATATATTTATAACTGATTTAGACCAACTGACTTTAACTGAGATTTTACAATGTATTCATCTCAATACATATGGATTCATTGGGGGCCATAAAAGATAGATATTGCCAAATTACCCGTGGGGCCGTATTGAACCGGAACACGGGCCGCAATTGGCCCGCGGGCCGGACTTTGGACATGCCTGCTTTACAACAAACTGCATTGTATACAGATATTTAAGTACCTCAGCAATTGAATTCTTCTCCAAAAAAACAACTGTTATCAAACAGAACTGTTTTAATCTTGAGAGATCCTTTTGAGTTAACTAAATGTAGTTACTTGTAGGCACTGTTTTCTACTGTTGATTACATGCAGGGAAAGGGGAGGATTCGGCTCAGTGGGAGATTCCTCTCCTCTCTCCCCCCCTTCCCCTCCCTCGTCACGTTGCTGCGTCCGTGTACACCAGCTCCTACCTGCCCCCCTGTACTGCTGCCTCTGATATAGAGTCAGCAGCATGGGGAGGGGGTTAGGTGGCTCCCTGGGAACCGGTGTTTGCGGGCAGCTTACTTAAAAGCTGGCTCCCCACGAGCAGCAGCTCCTGCTTGCTCCCTCTCCCCCTGCTTCTCCACTGCTGCCTCTGTATCAAAGGAAGCAGCTGGGTGGGATGGGGGGAGGGGAGGAGAGGGAAGGGGAAGGGCCTTGTATGTAACTGATGAGCCTAGGCACATTGGTTAAATGTGTAATCGTGTACACTATTACATCTCTAGTAGGAGTACCCCAGGGGTACACAGGTCTTCTAGGTATACATCAAGTCATTTATATATTTGCCTAATTTTACAACAGGCTACATTAAAAGTACTCTTAGTCAATAGAAACTAAAATTTCATACAGACAATATGAGAAAGTAAGCAATTTTTCAGTAATAAGGTGCTGTGACACTTCTGTATTTTTGTCTGATTTTGTAAGCAAGTAGTTTTTATGTGAGGTAAAACTTGCGGTTATTCCAGACACATCTGACTCCTGAAAGGGGTATAGTAGTTTGGAAAGACTGAGAACCACTGAGATTAAATTAATCAAGTTGTAGCTTAATTAAAGCACATCTCAGTATGTTTGTCTTTCTGCATCTCTGGGACAGCAGCCTCCTATACACGTGAAATAGGAAGAGTGATAATATAGAATAACCCTATGTGAGAGCTTTCAGAACAGAAAAAATAACCCAAAACTATCCTTTGGAATTTGAGACACAAGTATGAGGCCACTGTAAGGCAACTGTGTCTACTAAAGGGAGTTGAAGAGTCTTGTGCTTAGTGGTATCTAGAACAGAATCAGTGTGGATCTTGGCTTTTATCTGTTGTCAGATCATCACTGATATTGTATTACAATGAGATCTGAAGCCTGACTGATGTGGATAAAGGAATTCTCAACCATATAGGTTTTCGGAAGATTTCCTAGCTCCATTTTCTCCATGGAAATTAGTTACTTGTTTATAGTTGGCCAGGTTGCTGACATCAAGTACTAATTTTTTTAGGCCCATGCATTACAAACTTTTTTTTTAAAGAATTCTGCTCTTGTTAAATGAGATTTTGACCATCTCCACAAGGTCGTATATTACCCTTAATCATGCTGAAGGAACATGAGTCTTGACATTCTGAAACCAGATGGATGCTGTCTCAGATATAGTCTTGAAATGAGAGACCTTCTCACACACTTTAGTTGTAAGCAGTACAGCCATGTCACCTCCTCATCAATTTATCAGTCTTTCTGTGTGGCATGATGTTTTGACTACTCGGAATGAATTGCACTAGTGACAGCTCTGCATTGTTTTCCAGAAAGCATTCAGTGATGCATGGAATGCTTGAAACCTTTTCTATAATTAAATTATGGATATTTGCTAACTTTTATTAAGTAACCTTGTGTTAATCAACATTAATGTGAAGAGGAAGGATGGTTTTGTGGTGAGAATATTGGCCTATAGGATTTGGGAGATTTGTGCTCAAATCCTTCCTCTGCCACAAACTTTGTGACCTTTGGTAATAGTCTCTTTATGCTTCACTTCCCTGGATAAATGCAAGTGGCCATTCATATTATTAGTGGCTACTTGAATTATAAATTAACCTCTAGTTTCTATGTGTTAGCATACAACGTTCTGCCAGACTTTTTATTAGAGACTTTTTGTTAGCTATGCCTGCAGAGCTGAGACAGATTAAATGGTCTTATTGCATTTCCAGTTAACTGATGCTCCACTTTGAGACAAGAAATGCCATGCAGTACCAAGGTCACTTGTATTCAGGGGAGAAATCCCACTCCTGTTGTGTGGAGTATGATGATGTGGCTGATCTTTCATCATCCCTTTGCTACAGTAACTCTCACAGTCCTGGGTAAGAGCAGTTCCTTGCCCTTTACCATGTACAGAGGATCAGCACTGCTACGGAGTCGAAAACTGCATCTCCTAGAGTAGAAGCATTGGTGTGAAAGAGAGTCCAACAAACTAAGTAAACTCAGGAGTCTTTCGTTGCCCGAACTCCTCCTTCGTTGATTACAGACTCTGAACCAGGCTCAACAGACTATTCTCTAGTTTTCCAGAATTGTTGCAACTATATATTAGCGAGGCCTGATTTCCTTCTTAGAGTCACCATGGGATAAAATTGCAGACAATAACTTAGATTATAAAGAAATTCACATCTTGACATCTGCAGGGTGGCTTATAATATGAGAGAGAGACAGAGAGAGAGAGACAGAGAGAGATAGACAGAGAGAGAGAGAGAGACACCCCGAGTTACGCAGATCCGACTTATGTCGGATCCGCACTTACGAACGGGGCCCTCTCCCTGGTCTCCAGCAGATCAGGGAGAGGAAGCAAAGGGGCGGAGCACGCGGGCAGCGGACAGCCCAGACGCGTC